CCGATGTTCAGTGTAAAGTGCTCCGTATTAAATGCCATATTTAAGTTTGTATTTTTCCAATTCAACCAGTGCAAGACTTGATGTTTGGCTACCGAGAAATTGTTTATAATGAATCAATAACAGCATACAGTAATCCATCCTAAAACACTTGGAAGAACACATTCAAACATAATATATAATATCATGGTTTTGGCAGACCCAGCTAAAAATCCTTCATTCAATAAATACATTAAAATATATAGTGATTTTAATGCATTAAAAAAAATATATGATGTTAATGATGATGATGATAGATATACATCAAGATAATACAAAAAAAAAAGATGATGTTTTGTGTATCAGTGCTCTATATTGCATTAGGATGGTGTTGTTAGTAATATTGTAATGGTGATTTGTGTAGAACGAGCACAGGACTTGATGTGTGATTATACCGGGAAATGGTTTAAGCATCAATCACAGCATATACAATAACTGTACATTCATTCTAACAATCTTTTACTATATCATTTCTTGACTTCCCTCTAAATAGAGATAATCAAAGATTACTTTTAGTGCCGGTCTAAGAGATTCTAATTAGAGACCAAAGCTGCCAAATACCACTAAAAGCCTGGTCCCGAAAGTGATCTTTAATAGGTGGAGGGAGACCTATAATAGTTGAGAGAAAGTGGTCTGTCCAAAGCCAGAGCGGTTCCGACGGCCCTGCCAATACCTACTATTGGGTACGTTTACACCTAATTCAATCATTTTGTTAGAAAATCTCACAGGAATAATCGTGTTAAACGCCCAGCTGAAGTCGATAATCGAAGCCAACAGGAAGTAACTTTTTTTTTCAAATGATTTAGAACCAAACGCTTTAAGCGTTTCATTACGACCAATGTAAGTGCTATTGGACGTATAGTCGGTAAGTGTATCAATATTCGGTTTTGGGGGTATTGGTATAATATGTGAAATTTCAAACGTATCTGTTTGGGTTATCAAAGACTAAAAATATATGTAAATATGAAAGTAAGTTGAAGGCTACAATTCTTTAAAAGACAGGGGCTAATTCTATCAGGACCAGGAGCCTTTTGAAATTTAGACTCTTAAATAACATATAAGTCTCCTGCTAAGAAATCGTAAATCATAGGATGTATACCGGTAGATCAGCATCTGATGAAATATTTAGATCTGCTCTTCTATGTGCAGTTTAAAAACGATAGAAAAACGCATTAAATTTTTTAGGCAAGTTGGCATCAATTGAATTAGTGGATTTTGACCTAGGACGATAGTTTGTCATATTATATACACCTTTCCAGATTTCGGACGAACTGTTGGACGAAACATCCCGTTCGAGTTTTGTTAGAATAATCCTCTTCAGTCCTCATGATCCTTTTCCTTAAGTCGTATTTTGATTACTAATTAGGTCTATGTCACTGTGGCGAATGCTGAATTTTGACTGCAATACACAGTCCGGTACACTTATTTGTTTCTTCTTATATCACTGCAGGATATGCAAATTTGTGCTTTACTTTTAGTTACAGCACAGACTCTCTCTGATTTACCCTCAACAAAAGTGGACGATTATTGATATACGGAGTTCGTTGTCTATGTCTGCGAGAAAGTTGTACGTTTGTGTTTTATGTGTTGTCTTTTTGTGTTTTGTCTGTTTGTGTAAGTTGTTCGTCTGTGCGAACGTTGTACGTTTGTGTGAGTACGTTGTATGTTTGTGCGCGTACGTTGTATGTTCGTGCGAGTTCGTTGTCTATTTCTCTAAGTACGTTGTACTGTACATTTCAAATTGTATTTTTGGCGGGGATTGCCTTCCATAATTGGCAATATTAGGTTCTAAACGGAAAAAAATATAAAATTGTATATTTCTAAACAGAAAATATGACCAAATACTTTACCAACATATGTAAATATATTCAGAAGAACATGTACTTATAAAACGACTTTTTACTTAATGTTTTAAGTTTATATTGAAGTGTGGAAACTCTTAAGATATTCAAATATTTGTGTTGTTATTAAGACGTTGTAAAATATGTGTCAGTATGTTATGTTTATTCTGTTAGCCATGTAAGTGGTTGCGCTGTGCTGCAGTTTTGTCATTCACTTTATTTTTTTCATGTATGCTTGTCTTCGTTGTTTACATCTAAATAAAAAATAGGGTTACAGTGTCGTCAAAGCGTGTAACTCTCTGTAATATGAATAAAATGTTTAAAGTATTATCAAACGAGTGTTTGCACGATTATAGATATGCTATATATTTCCAGAAAACGCTTAGAATGATATAATTAAAAACACCATGTAACCGAGAATGAAAAACACGATATCCAACAGCTAAAGCTCAGCTGTTAAGGCGTAAAGGCCGAACAGATTACCATAATATAATAATATGTAGACCTAATCAGATTTTTTTTTAACTCCGTAAACATTCAATTAAAGCACTGTGTAAAAGTTATCAATTTCGATTAAACAGATCGAAACGATTCAGTGCCTGCTGATTTAGGACTGAAAATTTGTTATAGGCCTAATTTTTTAAATTAATAAATGTGGAACTATATGCAAAGAATTATAGGAATTATATTATTAATGCGTCCATTAAATGTATAACAATATTTTCTCCTTCTAATTTTCAATTAAATTCTACCTAAGAACCCACTTAATAGAATATACAAAGTAAGTAACTAATGATTGAATTTTATTTAAATTCAAGCTGGTTAGCATAACAACAAAATGCGTTGATCTTTTCTGTTAAAGATACAACAAAGTACTATCGATGATTGGTGTTTAAAAATAAGAAGTGCGACATCGATCATCACGATAGCGACCTCCTAGACTGTGCTCTTCCAAGACATCTCTCATGCCAAGTGTTCTTTTCTGAAAAATCATTCTGTGACGTCATAAAATGTCGCCGATTAAAGTGAAATTTTAAACTCGTCGATCATACTATCGGCCAGCGATAAACTGTCGCTTCCCTCGGATTGTTACAGATACGTTAAATTCGAGTATATTCATTAGTCTGATGTTGTAATTATTTACGATTCAATCATCTGTCACAGCGTCGATGAAAATAACGATTTGAAATCACGAGAGGAATATTCTGGTCAAATGCTCGTTTTCTTTTGCCAATAATATATAAAATATCAACATTCTGCTAAAGCCCTGTCCAAACTAATCATTTTTGTATTTGACAAAAACATGTGACATGCCTAAATATGGTCACGATGACATCACATCGTGGCCATATATAGTCACATCATGACTATATATGGGCATACAACAGTTTTTTAGCAAAGAAAATTTGATAGTGTGAACAGAGCTATGGACATGGTGCATGGTTACGAAAACATGAAGTACTGATGCAGGTAGTATAGTACGTAAGTATAATGATTAAAATGTAGCAGGGTATTATTTGCATTAACGTACTCTTCAAAATGGTCAGTAACAGCACCGGTAAGGGGGTGGGGGGTTGGAGGACACAGGACGCTCGTCAGAGATCCCTAGAGCCCCCGTCGGAGAAGCAGTTTTTTTTCGTCGGGGAAACTGCTTTGTAAGAAAGAATTTTCACGATGTAGGCCTATGCCTTTACGCACGCAAAACGTTACCGTATAATACATATGATTATTTCGTTACAGATGCTAAAGACTCATTCACGCCGAATCCGAATTTCGGATCGGAAGTCCTACCGAGCCGAATAAGTGTGTAAGAATAGGGAGGCTGGCGTTCAGCGCATCGGCGGTTTGGATCCGATGTGAAAGCAGCTTTAAAGCCAGGCCCCGGAGGAAAATTTGTTTTGCTATACGTTGTACAACCGATTTTTTTAAGACACAAAAACCATATTTGACGAATAACTGGGAAGCGGTTAATGAGATGCCGATTTTTGAATATTTAAAAACTTGGTGAAAAGGAGGCGTAACCACCCTTTTTAACACCCCCCCCCCCCCCCCCAGTTTTTACATATTCAAAAATCTGTGTCTCATTAACCGCTTTCGTCAATGCTTTTCGTGTCTTGAAATAATCAGTTGTACAACATACTGTATCAATTTTCCCCCTCCGGGGCCTCCTGGCTTCAAAGCGCCCAAGACCTTACTAATTCCATGACAGGTTCACTTCCGAAACAGAAGTTATGGTAGTAGGTATAAGCCTACAGTTACAGAATTAGCATTCTACCCATCCACGCAGGGAACACAGTGGAGCAAATTGAATCAATGTTGAATCAGGAATCATCGAACATAGACTTACATCAAAGTGACATTAAGCTTTGTCAAGCAATATTTGTTTAAGTGAACCAATTTTCCTAGACAGTTCTTTGATTGAAATTGCTTGAATCCGCACGTCATAAAAACGTTATTTCGATGTCAGTAAAGTGTTAATTGTGCTGAAGGCACTATGATCGGTGAAGCCAGTGCCTAGCCTGAAGCCTAATTATTATTGACCTAGAACAAAAGTATGTTTGTTACATATTGTTCGTCATCTGATACTATCTCCCCATGTAATATGAGTCAGTCCCATTATTGATATGAAAAACCATTTAGTTCCTTGCATTAGCAAATACAGCAAGTGGGAGAGGGTTGCGTTATGTACAAACACCGAGCATGACCAGCCGAGTGACCAGTCGATGTAAAGTAGAACACATATTTATGAAGAAAATAATGTTATAATATTTTGAATAAAGCTCTAGATGAGAATGATAATGTATAGACCAATGTCTTTCATCATCATCTTCATCCTCCTTATCACCACCATCATCCTCATCACCATCATCTTCCTCCTCCTCCTCCTCCTCCTCATCATCATCATCATCATCATCATCGCCATCATTATCATCATCATCATCATCTTCTTTTCCTTCTTACAACGCAAGTTGCTAACAGACGCCTCCTTACGCTCAATTAAGTACAATTATAAATGTGACGTTTATGAGAAACAAACAGCATATACAATAACGATTATCAATACGATAGAATGCAGTAAAATTAGTAATATGAAGTGAAATGAAAAAGAAGGAATGAACTTACCCGGAAATCGTTTGCTGTTCCAAAGTATAAAGGTACGAACGCCAACCACACTATACATGTTGTGTACATGGTGAACGCAATAAACTTTGCTTCGTTGAAGCTCTCTGGGATTTTACGCGTTTTAAACGCGTATACAGTACAGCAAAATACTAAAAGTATCGCGTATGCTAACGACACCATTAGTGATACGTCTGATGCACTACATTTTAAAACGACATTAGAATTGTTGATTGAATAGTCAAGACGTGTTCCTGGCCTCTCTATTATGAGCCATAGTAAGGAACCAACTAATTGTACCCCTACCATCACCATGCATATTATTAGTTGTGAGAAGGGGCTTATGTACTTTGGTCGTTGAGGAGTCTGAGTTGAATTGAAGATTCGTGCTATGCGATTCGTTTTTGTTAATAGTGCCGAATAACACATTGTGAAAGAGATTCCAATACCAACTCGACGCAGCGTACAAGACGACAGAGATGGCTTTGCTAGGATCACAAACGTCATAAAATAACACCAGATAACACCAGCCAATAAGAAGTAGCTTAACTCTCGCGCGCTCGCACGCACGACCGGCGTATCGTTGAATTTGATGAATATGCAAATTACCAGTAATGTCGCAATGACACCCCCTAGGCTGAAAATAACTGGAATTATAGACCAGCCTTCGTTCCAATGCATATAATCAATTGAAATTTCCTCACAGCCTGTTTTTTCCTTGTTCGGCCAGTCTCCTAATTTACATTTCTTGCAAGTAAACTCGTCCACAAGAAACTCATTCTCACTGCACGGAAAACAAATCCAACAGCAAGGTTCCCCTTCCTGGAGATTTTTCACCTCTCCTTTTTTACAAGGTTCACTACACTGGGAAAGGGGAACGGCATTATCTACCGAAAGTTTCTTGTTAAATTGAACTTTTTCAGTGTCTAAATGAAGAGTTCCCATCGACCAATTTCCGACATTGACGTAATGGTAACGGTTATCATTTCCTAGACGATAATTCATGATATCGTATCGGCCTGGGCCATCTCCTCTCTCATCAAAGCGTACCCTCGACCCTGTAATATCTGGAAGAAAATGAACCAATATTTTAAATATTTATTTATAATCAGATACACACACTCTAGACCAAATGATTGCAGTTTCAAATTTGGGTTTTAGAGTCCAGTACACTGGTTATTATTGGGGTTAGTTTAACCTTAATCTAGACATTGCCATAGAATGGAATCGCGTCCGACGTGTTTTGCGCCAATTATGTAACGCACTTTGCCGACGGTCGTCGACCGACGCGATACCATGGAGAAAGCCCCAACGCGACAATGTGCGCAACGGATCGTTCAATCCTAAGTCTGCCACCGACATCAGTAGGCTAGACGGCGTCATGTCGTCAGAGAGCCGAGATGGATTTACCGGTCAGCGGACTGGTGTTGCATCGGGCAAACTCTTACGGACGACTTCGTCCATTGACCGTAAGCAGTGTGTCAGGCTTATGAGTAATTGGATAAAGTAGCTGAAGTGTCAAAGCTCCCATAATGGTTATTAAGTATGGTTTGACTTATTTAATTTTATCTTCAATAGTGTTTTGAAAACTATGGCTATTAATGGATACACTCGTGCTAAATCTCAAATGCGTCAGCTCAATACATTTGGTTTTTGCCTACAAAAAATATATCTTAAAAAACATTAGATTGAACGTAAAAAGAACGTTGCAAACACCTTTGTTAATTCTAACGATGGGAGATATTTATAAGTTGAAATTTTATGTGAGGAGCATGGTCGCAAAAGTGTTATTTGAGTGATATACACGGTTGGTTTTCAGCGAAAATTCACTTGCATACATTAGTCTCCCTCAATTTAACAGTCGTTTAATTCCACACGTTTGAAATCCGATGCAGTACTTTGCGAATCAAATCAGTCAGTTTGGATTTATGAAATAGTATTCTAATCAAAGAAGCCACGAACGGATTAACCTAATTGGATACTGTCAGCTTCTAAGTGACGTGATGTATTTTGGGATACAAGAAAAAATCGAAATGGGCCTCATAATTTTGGGTTTCAAATCGTGGATGTATTATATTTTTCAGTTTTCGCGATCATTCTATCACTTATTTATGATTTAAGTCGTCATAATAATGTATAAATTTCCACAATAAATTTATTTTAGCGACATGAGTAGACTAGAATTATGTGAATAATCTCATCTAATTATCGTGGAATGACAAATATGAACAGCTGAAATGGACTGTGTATGTATATATACTGTCTCTTATACACATCTTAACTAATAATTGAATTTTATTTAAATTCAAGCTGGTTAGCATAACAACAAAATGCGTTGATCTTTACTGTTAAAGATACAACAAAGTACTATCGATGATTGGTGTTTAAAAATAAGAAGTGCGACATCGATCATCACGATAGCGACCTCCTAGACTGTGCTCTTCCAAGACATCTCTCATGCCAAGTGTTCTTTTCTGAAAAATCATTCTGTGACGTCATAAAATGTCGCCGATTAAAGTGAAATTTTAAACTCGTCGATCATACTATCGGCCAAGATACTTGGTTTATAAAGCATCATTCTCATCCTGTAAGTGGCAAGTGTACTTGCAGTTGGATGTGAAGGAAATAAGAAAAATAATATATACTGTTTATTATATACTTTGTATACTGTATACATTCATTTTAATACTGTTGACCATTGTTCTTTACTTGGTTTTTTAACTCCACATTTCGAATAATGGCCCATTTCATATTCTACTTGGTACACTATAATTAGCTATAGGCCTACATGAATACACTTCTAGTGTATATATTGAACAGCCGAATTCGTGTGTTAAACGGAATTGTGCTAGTTAGAATACGTTTCATACAGAGATTGTTTCGTTCTTCTACAAACCTCTGTATTATCGAAGAAGAGGGAAAAATACATTTTCCATGATTCATCGTATTCTTGCTTTACGTTGTGTTCTTCAAAATTAATCCTGTCAGATCACCCTCTCATACTAAGGTAGTGGAGTATGTTACCAGAGAGCATTAGAAGTTGATTCTAACATGCAAAGCAGCATAACCCTAAAAAATTGTCAGTGTTCACGGAGTGTGTACATAGACCAAACTGTGGCGATACAGTCAAATGCATTGCTACTATGTGTTTACTGTGTGTACACACAGTCCAATGTAAAGTTCACAATTTCCGCCCTTGTCAGTATGTTAACTCTGTGTGAACACGTAGTCTTTCACTCTGTGTACACTATGACATTTGTCTAAGGGAAGAAAAACCCCACACGTACATTTTGTCTAACCAACGTCCTATCACAGACATCAAGACGAAAGACCTGGAGTTGTTTGCTTCTCACACCCGGCGTCTCACTGCCGAATTGATTTGTGCATTCGAATAATAGTATAACAAGATTTAAACCGATTTCGCTTGAGCTGGCAGCCATAAGAAAAATCGCCCATATGATTTAATAAATACCGGTATTTCAGATTGATGTTTAAAATCAATCCGCAGCGAATGAACCCTGCTGTCAATAAGACAGATATGTATTTAATTGATATTAACGCCTGATTTTAAGAATACTGACTTATTCCATGTTCTAAGTTTGATGTATATCAGACAGTATATACTTTGATTAGATTCTATAGTGATGGGAAAATTATGTAAATGATGTTGCAACAATGCAGTCGTTCCAAATGTGCCTGAGGGCGCTTTTCATAGATGGTCATCAATGCTCGAGATTCATTCAAAGTCTATTATATGCTACTTTAGCAACATAAACTTATAATAGGGCCTATTACGTTATATTACAAAATGTAATTACCGTATATCCATTTATTATAAGCGTAGGCATATAAAAACCGGTATATTGAAACAAACGTGTACAATGAGCGCGTACCAACCTTTTTAAATCAATTTATTGTTATGCTTTAAATTTATTATGCATTCGGCAACCAAGTTCGACTGTCCAATTTGTTGAAATCTTAGGCCTATCATTTCGTAGTAAAAATAGCATACATATAGGCCTATATTGTACCAAATACATCCTTTAACTTATATTTTGTTTTAATTTGTTACAAATTAGACTAACGCATTTTGAAGAATTTTATGATTTAGTCTTCAGAAACCGTATTTGCAAATTTTCAACAAACCTCACATGTAAATAATATTGAAATACAAAATACGTTCGGTATGTGCTTAATGTCAGGCGTAATCAATAGGAGTTAAGAAACGCTCATCTTGAATGATTTTAGATCGGCAGACGATCTAAAATTCACAAATAGAAGCGCGCCAGAACGTAACATTGAGATATCTTTGTCACGTTGTATTCTCCCGCGCCATCGGTCTGTGTAATTTGATTTTGATATAGGTGCCAACGTAGAACACAGTTAACACATAATTATCTCTGACATAAAAATTCCAAAAGGTGAGTTGTTGAACGTTTTGATTTTTGCAGCACATCTAAGCCAAGCGTCGCTTCGCAAATTATTTCAACACTCATCTCTCCAGTCTATCATGTGTGACTTATGTGTGTGACCACAACAGATATAAGGTGTTTTTGATGGGTTTTTTTATGTTACTAAGGTGAATTTAAGGTGAAAGAAGAGAACTTGAGTTTTACCTAAATTATTGTTCTGAAGATGATATAATTTATCACAACATCGGTCATTAGTAAATATCCTTATTATTTCAGTAGTACTATTTTCTCTTTAAATATTATTGCGCCTTTACTAAACAAACTTGAGAATTTGGAAATAAGGTGTAACTTACACACTCGGATTATGAATTCAGTTCAATAACCAATCAATAAGCAATCAATCAATCAGTAATTCACTCGCAGAATTTGTTTTTCTCAAAATGATAGCGCGAGGTTACAATTAAAATACACTGAATCAAATGGCGACACCATAAAGGCAATAAAACCTCGCAATGACAATGGAAATAAAGTAACCGTACCAAATTAAATATTTCTAACTAAACAAAAATATCGTTACACAGTGATACATCGTACCGATACTATTAAAATTATTAATTAGAATTTGCTATGTGTACTGTGTATTCAAGGACTTTAACATTTAACTTAGAATTTCTTGAAGAATTGATGCTAACAAAGTGTTGTACCAACAGAAAACTTGTTTTGTTAATTAAAAGGTGTGATGTTTTCTAATTAAGTTGTTCAGAGGCCTATTGATGTTTGTTAGCTCGTTAGCTTAAATGTAGTTTGCATATTCTTGACGCCATATGTTTCTAGAAATTATAAACAGTCACTGAGGCTGAGTTAAGTATCTAAGGATATGAATTATAATTTAAAGGTTTGCAGAATGATTGGATAGGCCTACGTTTATTTATGAATCGATGTATAATATTCAAGCTATAGGCCTATAAACTCGCGTCTAATTACGTAGTAATAAAAAACAATGCTGTAAGTGATTAAGAAACTTTTGATGGGAAACATTATGAAAAGGTGAATTAATGTAAGAAAAATAAACTACAAGAAGTAGGCTATTACTGTAAATTTTGTAGTTTGTTACTGGACTGGGCTGCTACTATTTGAACCCCTTCAAAGTAGTAGCACTATACAGTAAATGACATGGTGACAGAGGTCGTTTATGTTGAAAAAGGATTCCATTTAATTTATTTGTTATTGTATCATATTTAACACGGATGACATTTTCATGCAGAGCTTAACATGGATGTCATTTTCATGCAAAGCATGTTTCTACAGATGGTCCATTTTCTAAAAAAATACTAACGTATGAGTCCTTTGATACCAGTGACCATTAAAATAAATGAGATAATGAATTATGGAATTTAGTAAATAAAACACTGGGGGATTATAGTACTATAAAGAGAGTTTTTATTTATTGACATGATGCATAGCGCTCCTCTTCAGATGAAGGGCAAATGTAGATGAGTTCTGTTGTCAAAAGAGTTGAAGGCATATAGTAGGAAGTCACAATGTAAACTATCCTATTGTAAATCTAGATAAAAACAAGCCCACCCCACATTGTGCACCCTACCGCCCACCTCACTTTAACAATGGTATATTCAATTTTGGGTTAGTTTTTGTCCGGGTGATAATTGTCCTGGGTGGTTTTTGTCCTACGTTGACTCGAAACAAGAACTCTGCATATCAATAAAACTAGTCTTTGAAGTAGTTCTCCGTGTTTTTTTTTTGTTTTTTTTAATACAGCACATCACATTATTCAACATTTAGGTCTGTTAAGTAATATTATCTTATAGGCCTATTTAGGACATATTGTGACGAATAATAATATTAAATCAAATATTTTTCGTAAGCCTGTAGGAGAATATTATCAGTTTGATGGCAATTAAAGTCGGCGAGAGCCTCAGTATATGCCTCAAATAAAGACATTTACGCCTAAATAAATTTAATATGTCAACAAGAAGGAATATAAATGTGTACATTATACCGACAATTCTAGAAATTGTCTTACATAGAGCAATAATGGGCATTTGCCTGGAGGACCATAATCAAAGTTATTCTCAATAATGTCCAGAAACCAGGTAACTTTTGTGATGTGAAGTTTGCTTTTGTCTTCTCTTTACCTAGGTACCTAGTATATTTGCATGTTTATGGAATTCTCTTTCGGGAGCTGAGTATGTGTTTCATAGAATTATGTTTTATCCAAGACCTGGGTAATAATGTTAAGCAAATAGATGCCCTATTATGGTGCTATTGTATTACTTATTAATATTTAAAATATTACCAGTTTTTTTTTTGTTTTTTTTTTGTTTATCAGCAGATCATGTTGTCTCCTACGTTATTAGATCCGGCCTACCTTTTTCTGATTGGTCAGAATTTATCTTTTGTTTTGATTTCTGTTAATTAAGTTTGTCACCTTCTTGGACTTTATTCAATCTTGAAAATGCTCTAATAAAGGACGAAACTTATAATCATAAATTTTATGGTCTCACATCTCTCATTTTTCGGAGTCACCATACTCATATTATAAACCAGTTGTATATAGTTATGAATCCAGTAGAGTATCAGCAAGAGTAAAATTCTATAATCTAAAACATTAAAATAATACAGGAATTATAATTTACTGTAATCATCAAAGAAACATAATAACATAAGAATTCATTGAGTTTGCACTTCATTTCAAATAATTACGTAGCGCATTCAGACTTCAAATTATGTATGATCTAAACATTAATATGAAGCTTTTCATCGAAAAAAAAACACTTAACAAAAATGACACAACATAAAAAAATACAATCAAAAATTGAATACAAATTAAACAATATTTGAACAGTGGCACATTTTTATTATGCACGTTTAAGTTCACGCTTTAAGTTTTACAGAAGTAGTTCAGTGACAGTCCGGGTATTAATATTCCACATATTTGCTTTAAAATGGGAATATGCATTGTTTCCATAATAACAAGAATCCAGGAAATAGACTTACCCAGCCGGCCTAGATTTAAACATAGAATACTGTCTGTTTTGAGCTAAATCACAATAATAAAAAAATATATATAATTTGCATTTTTATTTGGTTAATCTTTATTATTTATTTATATATTCCAACAATATTTTGTGAGGGTATAGAATACTGTTTTTTTTTTAGCTAAAGAACTTCAATCAAATAAAATAATATTCATATTATGTTATTACGCTTAAGTTTCACGGAATTAGTTCAGTATGTATAAATAAATATATTTGCATTGTTCATCTGCATAATCTTTATTATTTATTTATTTCATCAATGTTTTGTGAGGGTTGTTTATTCAGTCGATTAAATCCGTATCTAATAGAAAATAGTCCAAGATAGTCTCTTTCCTGTTGTCGAAGCTGTGCTACCCCTTTCCAAAAAATAGATCTACCTTTAGTTTTGTTTTTTTTTGCACCGTATGCGTTGGGGAAAAATGAGCAGGGTCTATTATACTGTTGTATAATAGGCTAAATAATAATAATAATAATAATAATAATAATAATAATAATAATAATGTTAGGCCTATATAATAATTATTTTTTATAGTTACAGTATTAGTAATAACTATTATCATTATTATTATTATATTAGATATATTATTTTATTACTATTTTTATTATCATTATTATTATACTAGTTAAGTTAGCCTGTTGACTATTAGGCCTATATTATACAAAACGATGTTGACAATCTAAAATGAGATAAATCATATACTGGCCACTCAGGATTAAAGGGTCACAATGGATGAAATGGAACATACTGTTCCCGATTACAACAGACCCTACATAGGCCTACATGTGTTGCTGTACTAAAAGGTTTTTAAAAATCTTTGTTCGATATAACAAGGTCAAGACAGAGAACTCTGACGTTAAAAAGGCACGCGAGCCACTCGTGATTGTGTGACCATTATGAACGGACACTCTTTGTAACACTTTCCAACAGAAATTCACTGCAATATCGTGTTTAAAGGTGAAGAAAAACACCATTTACGCACGGCGTCGCATATATGTTTCAATATTTATAGCGTGTCAGCGGGACATGATTGCTAAACATGAGCTTTTAAAGGTACAATATCCATTAAGACAATAATTGAAGATTGAAGATTTATCGTAAAGAATGTAATAGGCCTAATGTTGCCAAAATTCCTTATACGCATATAGATACACATAATAACTGTAGGCAGGCCTGTGTATTCAAACCTTTACAATAATACAATATAAGTTTTTGCTATTATTTCATAATTGTTTCTATTACTGTATTCAGAGTTGTATCACTTTATTGTATCATTATTTATTTACTTTAAAAAATATCTTCACGCAAATCCCGTCTTCTTTACAATACGTAAGGTGAGGGCGTATCATATTGATCTTTTTATTATTGACAATGCTTCGAGGACTAGCAACTTTTCACTCTCGTACACAGGAATGTGAAAAAGAGTTTCGAATTCATTCGAATCCAAAAGGATTCGAATTCGCAACGATGTCTCAGTGGCCAGTATACTTTATCAATTTACTGTACCATGATATGTATGTCTCATTTGCAATTGAAAGCTCATGAATGTAGTTTAAATACATAGCAGTGTACATGTTGACCTGCATTCTTTGACAGTAAGGCCAAAAACAAATTGTTGTACACAATAGAAACTGTCTCTTATACACATCTAGATGTGTATAAGAGACAGGGCATATATATATAGGCATATATATATATATATATAGGCATATATATATATATATAATGAACTTGCTCCACGTCATATGCTTGTACACCCTTCTTACGTCCGGTATATGTGTTTAAATTGTTTACTTAGATTATATGCTTTACACCTGATGAAGGCCTATGGGTCAAAATTAATCATGCCGTTCTGGGCATGTTTGTTGCAAGCCTAGTTTTAAATTGTTTAACATCTTAGTAACCATGTTTTAAACCTTTTAGATAATTCCATTTTGTTGGAATATACGTATGTGCGTATCTTTTAGGATGCATTTTCAATATGTAAATTTCGCTCTTAGTAGGCCTACCTAGCCCTATTTATATTTAACGTTTGATGCAATGGGTAATGGTTGCCAATGAGGTGCTGTACTATAATATTGAAGGCTACCGTCTCGGTCAAACCACCATGTTAGACGCTCTTTATTCGATCGATGCAGTCATGAGCTAGCTTCTGTTTGCACGATTAGCTTAGATAGGCCTATATAACGAGAATGGTAAAATATCGAACAGCTTTATATAAATAGTTCATTACATGTATACAGTATATATCACCTAAGAAAAAGTACACTAAAGAAATTTCAATCCATAATAAGTTCCTTTATGACGTTCTTAATGTTGGCGTACATCATAGTAATATTCGGTCGTGTTTCCAGACTGTCAAATTTTATTTGACAAAAACATGTGGGATGCCTAAATATGGTAATGATGACATCACCTGATGACCATATATAGGCACATTATAACCACATATGGGCATACAACAGTTTTTTGTCAAAGAAAGTGGACAGTCTCTTTACTTTTACTTACCTTCAAAGGTGACGTTAAGTATGTAGTCTGAGTAGAATATTTTTCCATCATCGGCAGTTGGCAGTCCGCAAAATATGTTTTTCTCAAATGTGCAATTTTTCGCAGAATCGTGCCGAAAGTTATCTAGCGCATGCGCCATAGCGTATACGGCATCGACAACAAATTGAATCTTTTTTTCCTGCACGTAGGTATCGTTGGTAAGTTGTAAAGTGTCATCACATTGTTTTTGAGTTTGTTTCGATACATTGCTCTCCAATTGACAATTAAATTGATATTCCCAAAACTCTTTAAACCAGGCGTTTCCTTCTTGATTCTCTGGGCTTAGGTTCAAAAAATATTCATCGAATTCCTGTATATTTTTTGTTTGTAGTTCTATAGTTATAGCACCTTGCGCGACTGCCTCGTTTCCTTGTACGGGTACATCTTGTACCCCCCAACCGTCGCTAGCTAACCACACGAAGTTATACCCAGCTCTCTGAGCCGCGGCCATAATTTCCCTGGCGTCTTCCATGCGGGTGAACAAAATTACTGCTCTGGCCTTAGCGTTATTATTATCAAGGTTTTTAACAATCTTATCAAATGTAATGTTGTTGGAGAGTAATGGCACCGTTTCCGATGCAGCAATGCATATATTCTTAGCTCTTGCTTCTCTCTCAAATTGATCAATTCCTGGTTCCCCATACTGCCCCTCTGACGCTACCGTGGAAACATAATCCCATTGAAATGCAGCAACAATATCTACCATAGCTTTAGCCTGAAGTGTATCGGGCGGCACAGTTCGAGCGAAGTAATCAAACCTGGTTTTGTCTGACAGTTGGGCGCTGGTGGAAGCGTAACTTATCTGAGGTAACTTAAAGAGACGAAGAAGATTCGCTACTTGTGACGTCACGGTACTGTAAGATCCGCCAATAACTCCGAACAAAACCTGATCACCGAAGATGCTCGAACCATCGTGATCACACGGACAATTTGAGAACTCTTCTGAACTTAAAGAGGATCTGACAAATTGCAAGGATTGCTCTAATGCGTAAATATCGAGAGAGCATGTATCGCGTATCTCAGCGCCTAGCCGAAGCCCGTTCAGCAGGTTCGAATCATTGTTAATCTTCTTGACGGCATAAAGCATCGCTTGCGCTCGCTGAATTCCTCGATCAACGTTCACTTTGCCACAAGGTGCTCCGTTGGATCCCTTCTCGTGGATAGGAAACAAACCCCCGAGTATAACATCCCCAGGTTCTTTCATCACATGAAAGCCTTGACCTTCTTCATCATGCAGACTGGAAAAACAACGATAACTCATTAACAACATAATTGTAATTAACAGCGATTGTGCATATTTGTCTCCAGACATGATGTCCACATTAAAATTCGCTCGGCTCGGTGCTCTCAAAGGCGCAGATTCTCATAAGCGCACAGGTAACGTAGACGCATATCTACTCAGACAATAGTCCATCTGTGGAGTGTAGCACAAGAAGACTCTCCCGCAACTCTACAGTAATCGATTGTAAGAGAATATCATTTTCTTTACTGTCATGTGTACGACAGAAACAGCATAGGGTAGTATTAAAATCGCATGCTTCATAAAAGCTATTCTGTACGCATGGCGGAATAATAAGCAAGCTCAGTAGTTATTAAACACGGATCCAGGAACCTTAAATATCATGTGTGCATCGATTCAGGTGTCGATCGTCCAACTGGAAATCTGTAGAATAAACTCATCTGAAAACTGGAGAGTAATTAAAGGAATTAATGGACGATTCCTTGCGATATAATTTGCGCATGTGCATTACACTATATATCTGAACTCGCATCACGTGTTATAGGCATATATTTTTGTGTGGATGACATAAATCAAATGTTATTGAATTAGTATTATTTTATTAGTAGACGTAATTTTGTATTGTTGTCCTGACTTCATGTAGTATCCGAGATATTATTTTCCTTCGATTTCGGTCTGCAAGAAATAAAATAATATATACGGCATAAGAATAATGATTGAAATATATTTCAGTGTTTCTACATGTAATAAACTCTCTTGTAGTGTAAGTATGCATGTCTGTGCTTAAGGCCAATATACGAACACGCATATGGCTTGAACCGTCGTTTGCATTTTTATTAGTTCAAGTTCAAGTTTTATTAAAAAGTATGTCCTTGCAGTTTTTTTCAGCTGAATTAAGCAGCGAATTATACATAGCAAAATGAAAACTGCCAAAGTGAACATAGCCTAAATATTTAAATTACAAAAAAAATGTTAATTGGGAATAAACATGAGATTTTTTAGATAATCATCCATTGCTCCTATAAAGTATATCTTTGCAGTTGTTGATATTTGCAGTAGTGTATAGTACCGTAGTGGTTAAATGACGCTAGAAAAATACAGACGATGTTGTACATACGCTGTGTAAATTATATTGACATTTGACATAGGCATGCGAACTTGGAACTACTAGAGGTATTATTAGAAAAGGTCATTTTAACGCATTAGATATAGACTTAAAATAACATGACTAACATATTCAGTGTACTGTAACTGCTACAGACAGCACCACCGTTGTAGGCCTTTCGAAATAATGGTGACTGTAGCATTGACGACGAATGCGATGAAAATACTGGCACCAGCTTGTAGAAAAATTAAAATTCCCATAAAATTTATGTTTCTAACGACTTGAAGTGACATATATTATGTATAATATTTTGAGAAAAGGGCTCGAAGGGAATCTGCTTCTTAGGCCGGGCACTCACTGGATCGTACGACGGTCGTCCGTTGCGCGCTTGTTGTGGCATTCCGCTCCCCTCAAAAATGGGTAGTGCCCGGCTTCACGAAGGCTTAATATAAGTTGGAATACATATGCCATAAGTATAATTACTAATTTCTATAGGTCAGATACTGAAAACATTCTAACAAAGAGTATAGAATAGCAAGAGGTCTGACTGCCCTGATTTTGCATGCACGAAATGAAACGGAAAAAAAAGTACTACCACGAGGTAGCGGGCTTCCTATTAGAATTCGAATAGAGTTCGAAACTCGAGCACGATTTTTACGTTCTTTTGAAGGGCCCCCTCTAGTTTGTGGTAGTACTTTTCAAGAGGATTCTGTTTGGTTTAGAGGCACTAATAAATGTGATAAATGCAACCTGACTGAATACCCAAATTATCACTCTCGAGACTCATTTTCATCCTGCCTCTGGTGAATCCATCTGGCAATGTCGATTCTTGAAGGGCCAATAAGACAAGATTTAACAGTAGCCTGCAGGCAAATCAAATACAATTATAGTCTTCATAATGGAATGAAAATGATTATTGTACAAAGCTTTGAAAACTAGACACAGTAAGTAATTCAGGTGCATACATAAGCGTGTGCGATCTCCAAATAAAAAGTACTGTTATGCATTTCTACTGAAACACATCCATCGATAATATATAAAGATTTATATCTATTTTTTTTTATATATTATATATTTAAGCACGCAACGCATGTACTAAGGAATGTTAATAGCGAATACATCACTGTCCTACTTGTAGGTGACAATCCCTTTCACAAGACAGACATGCACATACAATGACTTACACACAATAGATGTTATATTTTGATGATTTGCTTGTTTGTTTTTTTTGTTCTCCTTATCTATTTACATGATGTATTATGAGAGAATTTCCAAATAAATGTTTTATTGAATTAAATTGATAAATGTCTGGTGGGGATAGAGGTTTTATCACTTCTTATATAGTGGATGAGCATCGCTCTATCACACTTGATTTACAAATTATTCTTTGTGCATTACGTAATATCGTGAGAAAACATGTCCTAACGGTAAAATACAAGGTATGCACAAGCGAAGCTTGTCCTCTATGTTTAGTTTTCTCGAGTCGGTTGGCCGAGCGGTTAAGACGGGGAACCGTGACATCCAGCCATAATGTCGGTGCTGGTTCGAACGGCACGCTCGCCTATATATGGTTCCGGTGGTGGAACAAGTCTTCTCCGATAAGGACTCTAAACCGTAGTCCCAGTGTACACAATTGGCTCGTGTGCACTTTAAAGAACCCAGTACATCATTCGAGAAAAGTAGGGGGTTACATCGGTGTACTGGTCCATATCCAGTCCCATGTCCGTCCACAGAAGGAGCGTTTACGTCGCGGCCCATGTCAGGTATCCATCCTACCTGCGAATCCTTCTACTACACTACATAAGTTGGATCATACACACTAGCTACGTAGTGACTCGATAAGAAGTTGGAAGAGCACCCGAATTGTAATGGGAAGGACTTGGGTTCGAATCTAAATGGGGACAATATGTGTTTCTCCGAATAAATTTCAAAATTATTAAAATTGTTGGTTGTTTTTCTCTAGGAGTTAGGTAGGCATATGTATTTGTCGAACGGTGTTTACTTTCAGATTATTGGGGACCTGTTTCGGATTGTTTTTCTCCGAGATTTTCTGGCGATCGATTGAAATTCGTACTGTAGCCTGGCCAGGAGGAGAATATGATCCACATAAATGCTATCGATGTCGTGGTAATTATCAAGCAATCATATTTAGATTCCCAATAATTCTGCTAAAGCTATAGTTACCCGTAATGAGGGATCATATAAGAGTTGCAGCCCGCACTCTGTTTTTATTGATTGGCTATGGGCTGTAAATGAACACGATAATTGATGACGTCATACGTGTCTGGGTGATATTACACAAATATTGTCATGTTACTTATTAAACGACTCGTTGTGATATTACAAGAGCAACGAAGACGTATCTCTGGACGTGAACAAAGAGAATATAGATTTTGAACAACGCCTGTCTGATCGTGGAAACGACATCTGATTTCTGACAGAATTTTTCACTTCATTAACTACGGCCTATCTTGTAAATATTATAACGAGAATCTCAGTGTTTATCTAGTATCGTGTGATAAACAAATATTGTGCTACTGCACTTGCGCAAACGGACTATCTTGTCCATTGCCTCTGTCTTCTGAATGCGTAAGTGAACTTCAAACCAATCAGCGCCCAGGAATATATTTCGCGAAAACTTCGAAGACGTTAAATATAAACTGGGACAGGCCTTAACTGAGCCCAAGAACTCTTGTACAGTAGACTTTTTAATTTATGAATATCATCATAATGCATTGGATTTCTAAATGTACATGTCTCATTGTATCCATCGGGATAGTACACGTGACCCCTCCCCCTTTCCCTTCAGTCTAAACAGGCTTCATTTACATGCATCAACCACCGAACGCCAAATAATTAACTTAATAAACTTTCATTCAATCCACTATTGTACAAAAACTATAATTTAAAAACTTTCAATGGCTGCAGCTTCCGAGCCAATCCCCACACCTAATTGGGCTCTTCTTGGCCTCTCAGTGGCCCATTGTTGCCCAAAACCAGTGAGTAACTTCGCTTGCAATGTCGCATAAAACCTGGATTTATATGCCTAAACTATTTTTATGTACACAATTTGGTATTCAATTCTTGAATTCCGGTTGATGCATCACCAATAACTGTTCATTATTACTCAAGATGTATTATGACATAGTAGAACTATCGTATACATTAAAAATGTAATAAAATGCTTCGGTAAGAGATAAATAAATGCGTTCAACTGAAATGCCCCAGAAATGCTTAAACTTTGCAGACTTGTATAATTCGTCTTACATAATTAGTATTACGAGACTGCTTTTGGACCTTCATAAATAAAGGTTTAATAATTATCTTAACATAAATATATCAGTCGCCTAAACAGTGTTGAAGCTAAGAAAGTTTTGGGGCCATGGGACACCGTGTAATCTGATACAGGCTTACCATGATTAAGAAAAAAACAATATAAAATTATATACGCCTATTGTATATGTGTATATATAAAAAATTAAAGTGTTACGACCGAAAGATCTCGTCTCCATTTTCTCAATAAATGTTAAGGTAAACAAAAAATGTTAAGGCAAAGCTATGTACCACCTACAATGTTTTATTTTATATATACAATTTACCTATGCAGCAACTCTGATTTTCCTATATATATATATATATATAAATCAGTAGGTAGACGCAGACAAAATAAACTGTTACGATACTTTGACTTGTAGGAGACATAGAAATATTTTATTTGCGAAATTTTCGGCAACTCCTGTTACCTTCGTCAGCGCATGAGTATCAATGAGAAACTTAACAAAATACATAAGAATATACAATGGGTGATTGCTAAACATTTTAATCAAAAGCGCCATGATATTAACTGTATGAAATTCATTTTAGTTGCTAGCGGGTTTAAAACCCTCAGTGAAAGGCGTTGTGCTGAGCTGAGATGGATACTTAAACTTAAAACACATAAGTCAGGTGC